ACCTCAATCCGCGAGCCACTCATCATCGTGCAGGCGTCGAAACGTTTCTTCGCCATTAATTTCGCCGTCACAAGCAATCGTGCGCCCCCAACACCTGAGACCTTCGGTCTTCTCAACTGCATTTCCCAAATATTTCATCATGATCAGCGATTCCTTCGGTCGATTTTGCCCTTTGTTTTGAATTTCGAACGATTGCCCTTCCTGCCAAAATCCTATAAATACTGAAATCCCTCATTCATACTTTACGCTTCCAAAATCACTTCGAAATTTCTTGTCCTTGTTCTCCAACACATTTCTCTTTCCAGGTCTTCGTTTTCAAATCCCCAACCCAGAAAACCTTTTACGCCGTGCTTCCTTCCTACAATGGCGTCCTTCATTTCCAAGCTTTCCAGGGAATGCGAACAGCATCAGAAAATTCTCGATCGGAGCTCGATCAAAACCATACGGTTTGAAAGTGACATGAGCACTGTCCACCAAATCTTGGGTCCTCTCTTCAAAGCTACAATCCCGTTAACCATTACTGGCCTTCTCCAGGAGCATTGCTTAACACCCTTGCTCCAAGGGTTTGAATGGTCGAGATGGGATGCGGCGAAACCCCAAGGCTCCTGGCCCTCGACGATCACAACCTGGGCAGCCTGGGTTGTTCGAATGGAACGGCTCTTTGGCGAGCAATGGAAAGCCCTCGACATCTACGACGCCATCCTCCTCTCGTCAATGGATGTCGTTCCTGACAAGGAGCTTCTCCTAGCCGCCCTGAGCTTCTGATGCTCGGCCACCAACACCATGGTTCTTCCTCTTGGTCCCATCGGTCCCACCATTCTTGATGTTACCGCCATTCTGGGTACTTCGACAACTGGGATCCCTATCGACGCGGCCCTCTCTGGGTACCCGTCGAATATCGACCTGAAGACGCTTTTTGATCGACGGGCTTTCGAGACGTTGAATCGTGAAGGTCAAATCCCGTCGAAGGAAGACATTCAGAAGCTCCGCAAGAACTTCTTCAATTACAACACCCTCTATCTCCATTTCGCCGGTCGAGGAGAAGAGGACCTGCGAGAAGGGGAACATGAAGCGTTCCTCTTCTATTGGTACAACAAGTACATTTGTTGTACCAAGTCCAACAAATGCTTGGTCGAGAACATGCCGGTAGCCGAGGCCCTGGCTAGTGGTCACGTCCTGGCACTGAGCTCTAACATTCTCGCCCATCTCTTCCGCTGCCTGGCCGAGGCGACCCTCCACAAGATCGACCCACACCAGAATGGTCCCCTCTGGGTCTTCCAACTCTGGTTACAAGTTTACTTCGCCTCTCTTCGACCGGCCATAGCTGACTTATAGCCAACGGAGGCGCTTGGACCTCAGCTGGCCTCCCGACCGACACCTCCTCATCAAGCCGAAGAGGTATTTCGGTACCTCTTCGCTCTTGATGACCTTTCCAACGACGAATTCCTGATATGTCGTCGTCGAGACTATCCTTCCTCTATCAGACTGCCTACCTCCATGTGGGGCGCGGGGGAGGATGCCGATCTTCGTCAGACCTGGGGGTCGTTTGTGCTCACTCGCGACCTCCCTCTCGGCTGCGATGGAAAACGATCGGGTTGGGAAGTGTACCATCCGAACTTCCTTGCTCGACAGCTCGGCTACCTCCAAGGCTGCCCGGTTCCCCTTCTCTCCTCCCGAACAGTCCTAAGCCGTGGACGTGAACCTCGTTCCTCAGAGAAGGAATGTAAAACTGCTGCGAGGGAGTTCCAAGAGCACTGCCAAAAATTCCGCCTTCGACCGGCCACCCCAGAAACCCTTTGCACTGACACCTTCGGTGATTGGTGGGAAAATTACACCCAAGAGTTCTTTGGTGCTCCGGTCGAAGATGTGCTGGGCAAACTCTTCGGTGATCGACTTAAGAAGGCCTCGGCCCCCCAAGCTCCAGGTACCTGTTCAATTTTTTTTTATTTTTTTATTTTTTTATTTTTTTATTTTTTATTTTTAACTTTGCATATTGATTTGCTTTACTGAATTGGTTTTATCTTCTCAGGTAGTCGCCCTTTGAGAAAAATGGAGGCAGTTGCCGTGGCTACGGCCGAGAAAAAATCGGTCGTAGTTAAGAAGGATAAAACTGCTAGTCGGGCCGCGCTGATCAAACGGCCTCGCCGAGAGGCCGAGCCAGCCGTCGAACCTCCGCCGCCTGCCAAGCGGGTAAAGCAGCTGGCAAAGAAGGGCGCACGGGAGATCCACGTCATCTCCAGTCAAACTACAGGGGCGACGACTCCCAGTGTTTCCCCTTCTCTTGCTGTCGGCCAACCCTTGGTCAAGAAACCGCCAGCTCCGGCCGCAGAAACAATTCAAACGCGGCTTGTTTCTGGGACCGGTATACAAGTTGTGCCTCCCTCTGTCGAGGAGGCACCTATTCCGAAAAAGGTGGTTTCTGTGACCGATGGAACTTCCCCTAAAAATCCAAAGCCCTCGGTCTTCATTCTGGAAGAAAGTAAGGGGAGCGATGAGGTCCCGCTTGTAAATCGTCCTCATACTCGCCGACAACCTCCTCCGATCTCCGAGATGGTGGTTCCAGCCGGCCCCTCCACGGCTGATCGTGGCAAGCGTCCGATCGAGGAACCAACAGCTGTGGCCGAACCCCTCGCTCCTTCTCAGGACCAAGATGTCCCTACCTCATCCGAAGCGGCTGTCCCGGTCGGCCCCTCCACAGCCGACCGTGGCAAACGACCGGCCGAGGAACCCGAGGCAACGGCGGAGTCGCCCGTTCATCCTCAAGACCAGGGCTTCTACATTCCTCCGCAGGAGGTTACTTCGGCCTTCGTAAGTACCTTCTACCGTCTTTCCTTGATTGCTTTTCTACTTTAGAATTCTAAACGAAGAAAATACTAAATGTCAGGTGCCTGTACACTCTTTTCACCGAAAATTCTATGCGCCGAAGGGCGTTATCTATATTTCTTGGCCGCCTCAGTGGCCATCAAACGTAGATAACCTCCATCGGCCGCGTGAACTGAGAAGCACCCTGAGACACTGGGCTCGGCCATTGAGTTCTTTAGGTTCGAGCAACGATCCTGGAGATATGGCCGAGGTCTCCTCTCGGCAGGTTAAAAAACGAAACCTTCTTGCTATTCTTGTCATGACTTCTTTTAAGCTTAACCTGATTTGTATGTGCAGGCTTCGTGGGAGGTCGAATTCAAAGCCCTCATCTCCAGCACAACTGCAGAGTCCGGTCCTTCGACCGCTACGACTGAAGCTGCCGATCCAAGCGCTCTGACTCAGTTGCAAGAAGTCCTGTCACTTTCAACGTCGCAAGTACTCGAGCGCAACGGTCTTGATCTGCTTGGCGTGTGTTTGAACGACCTTGGAGCCGACGGTCGCTTGAGCGGAGATGCCATCGTTCGGGCGTCGTCTGCCTTGGAGCGGGTTCGGGAGACATTTAGTATCTTCCAGACCGCTCTAAAGGCCGAACACGACCTGTAAGCTGCCACGGCCGTTCAAGACACTCTCTGTCTGAAAATCGACGATCTAAGGGCAAAAGGAAACGCCTTAGCCGAGCTCGACCGTCAGATGGCCGAACTAGCAACACGTCGGTCGGCCATTGCTTCCGAGCTTGCTAAAGACTTCGAATCGGGCGGAAAGGATTGCCTAACTGAGTACGCGGCGACCACAAAACGGGTCGAGCGGTTGAAGCTGGACAAGAGGAATCAGCAAGCTGAAGTTATCATGGCCGAGGTGCGGTGGTTGGAGATGAAGGCCCTGCTCGGCACCCTCCTACCCTCTTCGCCTTAAAGGCACTTGGATGTAAAAACGATCAATTCAATCATCTTGTACATGCTTACCAATATTAATGACTTGATTTTCTATTCCCGCATTTCCCACATGACCGGGTAGTATTTTTTTAAAAACTTCCCGTTGATCGGCAATCTGTGAACCAAACCGGTCCGGTCTTTAAGATGATACGCCCCTTTTTCGTATACTTTATACACAACGAACGGTCCTTCCCAATTTGGCGACCACTTGCCGAATCTAGGGTCTTTTAGTCCTACGGGTAACACCGTTTGCCACACTAATTCACCCTCGTCGAATGTTTTCTGTCGTACCTTTTGATTATAGGCTCGCTCGGCAATCCGTTTTTGTGCCACCAGTAAGTTATAAGCGTCAAGTCGTGCTTCTTCCAAATCTTCGAGTTCCTGTCTCATGGACTGATTATATTCGGCGCTAAACAAACTACTTTGTTCGATTAATCGCAATGAATTTATGCTTAACTCGACTGGTAACATTGCATCGTGTCTGTAGGTTAATGCGTACGGGGTTGTCGCAGTCGCCGATCGGGGCGATGTTCGATATGCCCATAATGCCTCGTTCAACTTCAAATGCCACATGCCAGGCCTTTCTTTTATCATTTTTTGGAGGATGCCGATCAACACTTTATTACTTGCCTCGGCCTGCCCATTCGCCTGTGGATAATACTGTGTAGACTGTTTGAGCCGAATTTTCAAATTTGTCGTATACTTTTTAAACCTTTCGGCTGTGAAGATTGTTCCATTGTCAGTTATGATCGTTTCTGGTACGCCAAATCTGGTCACGATGTGTTCCTCCATGAAGTCGTAAACTTCTTTAGATCTTAGTTCGGCATATGATTTCGCTTCGACCCATTTAGTAAAGTAATCGGTTGCGACTATTATCCATGCGTGCTTAGCAGCTCCCGAAGATGGCGTGATTTTGCCGATTACATCCATGGCCCATCCTCTAAACGGCCATGGCTTTATGACCGAATGCAATGATTCGGCCGGGACCCTTTGTATAGGCCCGTGGATTTGGCACTGTACGCATCCTTGTGCAAACTCGATACAATCCTTTAGTATCCTTGGCCAAAAATAGCCGTGCTGTCGAAGTAGCCATCGCATTTTCCGTCTGGATTGATGAGCTCCGCATACCCCTTCATGGACTTCTGTAATCGCCCGAGCACTCTCTTGGGGGCCGAGGCATAGTAATAACAAACCATCTTCGCCTTTTCAGTATAACTCGTTCTGATACATGACATAGTTCGTGGCGTGAACTCTTGTCTTGCGATCGTGTTTACCATTGGGATTATCGAGGTACTGCATAATGGGCTTTCTCCAATCATCTGGTACTGCCTCGACGGCACAAACGTCCACAGGGTCGTCTCGATCTAACAACGAAGGTAAGGACATGACTCTTGTACGTATCACGTTGTCGCGCTGGAGGACTTGTTGGTTAACCAAGGCCAGGTATAGCTGTCGCAACACGGGTATTTCTCGGCCTAGCTTGCCCCCCAAGAGTTGTGCGCCGGAGGCAATTTGAGCCAATTCGTCTGCGTCGGTATTATAACTCCGGGAAATATGTTTAAATGTAATACTGTCGAAGGACTCGGCCAAATAGCTGGCGGTTATGTGGTAAGGCGCCAGGGTACAACTCATGCAACAAAAAGAACCATTGAGTTGGTTAATCACAAGTTCGGAGTCGCCGAGGACGAGGGCGCGGGTTGCCCGCAGGTCATGAAGAATTCCAAGGCCGACGATTAGGGCTTCGTATTCGGCCTGATTGTTGGTGCATTCAAAATCCAACTTAAGCGAAAATAACCAGCGATCGTGGTTTGGGGATTGAATGACAATTCCCACGCCCGCCGAAGATGACGTACTGGAGCCGTCAAAGTACATCGTCCAGTGGTTGTCGCGCGTCTGAACCATGCCGATTTCAACGTCGTTGCCCCCAAAACCGTATGGGGAGGGATGTTGAGCAAGGAAATCAGCCAGTGCCTGGCCCTTGACACCTTTCTGGGCTACGTACTGCAAGCTAAATTCAGACAGTGCCATGGTCCATTTCCTAATGCGGCCCTTTACGATTGGTCGGGTGACCATGTAGCGGATGACGTCGGTCTGAGCAATGACTTGGGTAACTGATGGGAGCATATAATGCCGAAGCTTGGAAGCAGCGAAAAACACGGCCAGGCACAGCTTCTTGACGGCTGGGTAATTGATCTCCGGTTGACTGAGATTGCGGTTGAGATAAAAAATAGCCTGCTCTCGTCCGGCGTCGTTATCTTGTGCAAGGAGGCAGCCGATGGACTCTTCGGCCGCCGAGATATAGAGCTTAAGAGGCTTACCACGCCGAGGAGGAACCAGGACAGGTGGGTTCGTGAGGGAGACTTTAATTTGCGTAAACGCCGCCTGATGCTCGTCGTTCCACACAAATTTATCTGAATCCTTGAGTTTCAAAAGCGTGGAGAACGCTTTCATTTTACCTGCTGAGTTGGCAATAAATCGGCGGAGGAAATTGATCTGTCCGAGTAAGGACTGGAGTTGTTTCTTCGTCGTTGGGGGTGGGGCATTGATGATCGCGCGGGCCTTATTCTCATCGACTTCAATCCCACGATGATGCACGAGGAAGCCAAGAAAATTCCCGGCCGATACGCCGAAGGCACACTTGGCAGGATTCATCTTGAGGTTGTGCCGACGCATGCGGAGGAAAGCCTGTCGGAGATCGTCCAGATGTGTCTGTCGGCGTTTAGATTTGATGACAACATCGTCGATGTAAACTTCGACGATGGTTCCAATTAAATCATGGAAGATGGTATTCATCGCCCGCTGGTATGTGGCGCCGGCATTCTTGAGGCCGAATGGCATAACAACCCATTCGTAAGTACCGAGTGCCCCCGGGCAACGGAAAGTAGTTTTGTGCACATCGGCTTCGGCAATGAATATTTGGTTGTACCCGGCGTGTCCATCCATAAAGGATAAGATTGCATGATTTGCCGCAGCATCGATTAACAGGTCTGAGATCGGCATTGGATACTCATCTTTGGGAGTTGCCAGATTCAGATTTCTGAAATCGATACAGATGCGTAATGCACCATTTTTCTTTAAAACAGGCATGATATTTGCCAACCATTCAACATATTGAGCTGTCCGAATGAACCCGGCTTTCAAAAGCTGAACCAATTCGTCCTTGATGCCGAGTTGCACTTCGGTCGAGAATCGACGAGGTGGCTGACGGAAAGGTTTGCATCCGGGCTTAATACGTAATTCATGCTCGACCAGAGTACGCTCTAAGCCGGGCATTTCATGATAGCTCCAAGCAAAACAATCTTTGAACTCCGTAAGCAAGGCACGAAACTCGTCCTTCATTTGTTGGGGAAGTAACGCACTAACAAACAAAGGTCGTGGGTCATCGGCCGTCCCAACATTAATCTCTTCCAAGGGGTCCTTAACTTGGGGCCGATGATCTTCGAGTATGGCCGGGGCGGCTTGAATTTTATCAAGAGACAAGACAGGACCATTATCTCTTTCGGCAAGGAACTCGACGAGGTTAACGCCCGAATTTGGTTGTTTAGATATAGTATACCAATGGGCCAGCAGTCGTTCCATAGTAGATGAAACCGCGGCCCTACGTGTTTCCCGATCGGTGTTAAACATCAGCTTCGGGGAGGAAATTGGCTAACCCGAGTCTCGCCGAATCCTGCTAGACAGTCTCGGCGCCAACCTCGATAGCTTTCTGAACCAAAATCCGAGTCGGCCGTCCTTCTTCATTAAAGCCTTGCAATGTAATGTAGCCGACGTGGTCATCATAATACCGTGCTTGGATCATGTTAGCTTCGAAGGGCTGGCTATCGGCCGGGTGAACAGTGACTGAGTTGCCGTCCCAAAATACAAGCACTTGATACAATGATGAAGGAATACAGCTGGTTTGATGAATCCAGTCTCGACCGAGCAGTGCATTATACTCAGTTTTGGAATCAACCACGAAAAATGCGGTCATATGAGTGCGACCAGCAATGTTTACAGTTAACGGAAGTACACCTTTGGTTTGGGATTTGTCGCCGATGAAACTACTCATTGTGATCCCTGACGGAATAAGTTCGTCATTCGAGCGACGTAAGGCTTTCATGATGTTCAGAGGCATGATATTGACGGTAGCTCCACAGTCGACGAAAACTTTAGAAACTGGATACCCCTAGATATGGGCCGTCACATACAAAGGCTTCAAATGGCGAAGTTTGGCTGATGATGAACGAGGAAACAATTCGGCCAAAGCCGCCTTTAGACTGTCATCTTTTGTCGTTGACTCAACTTCAGCAACAGATACAAAATCAACATGGCCGGCTTATTCGGCGACTACGTCACCATCGAGGAAGTTCGGTTGGGTCGTGCTTGATTGAAAATCAGCGGGTAACACATGGACCATACTGATTTCCATGTTATCCAAGACTGACGGGCCCATCGGGTTAAGACTCTCCTCACTAGCTTCATCTCTTGTCTGGTCGGCAACCGCGGACTCTGCTGTCAAGGTTGGACAACGAGCCTCTTCTGTTCCTTCTTCGATGGTTTGATCCTGTGGTGCTGCTTCGGCAACTTGTTGGTTCTGCGTACCTACCTCATGTGAGGTTGAGATCGATAGTGTGCTCGGGGTCAGGACCTGCTCCTGGTAGTGTAGCCGGGCATCCCTAGTGTCGAGATAAGCATCCAGACGTGCAACATGTGCTATTTCATCGGTCGTAAGGCCGAAGAGCGAAACAGCCGAGAATACTTCGAAGTGATATCGTAAATACTGAAGGTCCTCCATTGAGAAAGGAAGGTCGGCTGCATCAATATCATTGTATGGGTCGACTTCAAATCCAAGGACACGAGCTTCTCGTATGTGCTGGAACCTTGCTTTCAATCCTGGGTCTGAGGTCTTCTGGATGATTCGCTCGGCATCAGGACAAGTCAGGACTAGATCAATGGTGTCCTGGCATGCTTTTGGCAAGCCATACAGATCATTGGCCGAATGTTTCTTATGGAATTCTCGCATGTACTCCAAAGCCTCCCCAAGGAACGGGGGGTACAAATTCCGTCGGATCTTGATCAAAGGTCCTTGTATAGCCGGCGGGGCTAATTTGCTTTCGGCCTTTTGCCTGAAATGTTCAAGGCGCGCCTTCATCTCCCCTGGTCCAAGAAGAAGTTTGATCCGTTTATCGGCCTCTTCAAACGTGGTTTCGACATCTTGGTCGACCAGCCGTCTCCCTTGAGCCAACTCTGTCATAATGGCTGGAGGTGGTCGTTCATCATCAGTAGCAATGGTGTCCTTCGGTCGCCATTTAGGGACCGAAGTTTCTTGGGCTGCCCGTCGGCGGGCCATGCAATCTATCCTTTGATGCCGACGTTTCTGGGATTTGGACAACGCGGTGTAGACGCCTTTCGAAGAATGATATGTATACCAACGTTGATCTCTAGGCTCGGGAGGTTTGAAGGTTTTTTGGCTCCGCGATGATTCTGAACTGCTAGAATTACGTTTATAGTAATCATCGTCATAGAATGAAGCATCAAAATCGAGGCGCCGCCTGACCGGGGGTGTCTCTTCCATTCGTACTTTAGGACCGAGCCTATCAAAAACCTCTTGATGTTTTCCTACTTCGGCAACCTTCTGCTGGGTTGCGGCCGTAGCTCGTTCCGTTATAAGCGAAGAGGGCTTCTCCTCTGGCTCACTACCGACCTTGGCTCTGCATTTGCTGCACAAAACCGCTGTCCCACTGTCTTCATCGGTGGTATAATCTACCATAGGTTTGACAATAGCGGGTCCCGTTAAAGCTGTAGGTGGTTTGTTTGAACGAAAATCGGCCATGAAACGTGGCCGAGAATTCTGATTCCGAAAGCTTTGCGTCGCAACATCTTCGACCTTCCCTTTCCCTTTGTCTTTAGGTAGGCATGCATCAACCATATTTACTGTTGCCGTGGGGAATGGGTCAGTATCAACACTCATCTTCTTCTCTGGAAATTTCAGTTTGCCATTATCAATCCAGCTTTGGACGTTGTCTCGAAACACAACACAATTGTTTGTCGTATGTTTGCTTGAATTGTGGTATTTACAATATACCTTTCCTTTAAGCTTTTCGGCCTTGGGAATGTTGTGACCAGGCCGAAGCTTGATGATTCTTGCTGATAACAGTTGGTCAAAAATTACGTCAGCCTTTGTAATATCAAAAGTATAAACTTTTGACGGTTTCAACGTTCCCTCAGTGGCCGAACAGCTTTTGACTTCCCTAGAGTCAACTTGAGTCAATGCCTTGCAGACGTATGGCTTATCTATCACTATCTCAGCTGCATCCACACTAACGCATTCATCCTCGGTTGATGCATAATTGACAGTAGGATTCTTGTAAATCGTCCCCCGAGTTGGAACTTTCGAAATCTTTTCCTCGCGGAGCAAGTAATCATACTGCTCGACATGCTGGGCTAATTCGTACATATCTCGAAAGATTGTCCCCAAGAATTTCTTTTTGTATTCGACATCGAGGCCGTTCAAAGCAAGCCTGACAAATTCGACTTCGGGTAAAGGCACTCGGCACCAATTCCTGGCTGATTTGAACCTGGTAAAATAATCCATTGGTGACTCATCAGATGCTTGAGCCATCCTTGCTAATGAGGAAACTGACATCTCCATCCCTGGCCGATAAAACTGCTCGTGGAATTTCTCGACCAACCCCTCCCAGTTTTGGACGGAATTATGAGGGAGATTGATATACCAGGCGAATGCTGAACCGGTCAATGAGAAGTTGAACAACCGTAACTTATGGAAATCACTATTAACATCCCCGCATTGCGCGGTGAAACGAGCCACGTGCTCTAACGAAGACAGAGACGATTCACCGGCAAAAAGGCTAAAATCTGGGATCTTGAAACCCTTCGGGTATCCGAACGTTTCCACGTAGGCCGGGTACGGATGGATAAACTTAGGAAACTTCAGCCCTTTCTTCATGGCCGAGTCGATCATCCGCTGAACTTCGGTCATGTCAACAGGTGTTGCTTCGACCCTCTGGTCGGTTCCGTCTGACCTACTATTCGACCCTCCTCCTTTTTCCAAGTCGATTTGTTTGAGCCGAGCAGGAATAGGCTCGGCCGGTACAATTGGTAACGGATTGTTTCCTGGTGGTAAGTGTTGGAGAAGATCGAAAGGCCTGCTGTCATTGACTTTACTAACCAGCATTTCGAGCAATCTGGTTTGTCGCTCATTGGAACTGAGTATCACGTCATGCAGCTTGTCAATGCCTCGACTAAACGTCTGCTCGACTGACCGAGACTGCTCGTCTAGTCGCTTTCGAAGAAACGACCTTGTTGGCGGATCAGATCCTTCACCACCATCTTCATCGCACTCTTCTACTATCCCTTCATTGAGGACGCAGGTGTTTCTGTTAGGGATTTCTAGACGGCGTAGTTGACCGCCGAGATTAACTTCTCTCTCTCGGCGAGTCGCGCTCGTGGACTCAGGTGTCACAGCGCTAAGGGGATTATGCGCCTGTGGCACACTTTGTCCTATGCTCTGATTTGGCAAATCGGCTGCCGACTTTCCCATAGCTGTTTTCTTTTTTACCGATCGTGTTTCAATTGGCATGAACTTCGTAGTCTAGCACTGGGTCCCACTGGGCGTGCCAAAATGTTAACCCTAGAAACTACAAAGCCTACGTGGCGCGCAGGCCGAGTAATCTAAAGGCTAACTATGTCCTTCGGTGATTGCGGGGCGTGCCAACTCGTCGGCCAAGGAGTAAATTTTTGTTGATGTTGCGTTAGGTGCGCGGCTGACTTCTGCGTCTTGCGATTGCGGCCGAGAAAGGAACACGTCTCAGCCTCTTGGGCTCTCGAACCTGAAGACAAGGTTACTATTCTTACGAAGTTCAATATCAAATTCGGCTTTCAATGTGCCGAATGTAATGATTGTAACACCTCACTTTGCCGAGAAGGCTGATGAGATGACCTCGACCAATAAGGATTTAGAAACCCTTCTCGACCGAGACTTGGATAGGTAATCAACCGCTCTCGTCGCAGTGCTGTTGATGCCAACGAAAGATACTGCGAGAACGACTAATTCTACGGTGACAGAGCTATCTATGCCAACTTAAGATATCACCGGTTGCTTTCACAGTGCTGTTGATGCCAACGGAAGATGTGTCAGCGAAAAAGAAAAAGGAAAAAGATCTCAAGTTGTTGAGAGTTTGCGCAGGGCAATTTTGTATTGATTTGCATGAGGCCTTCGTTGATGCACAGCTTCCCTTATTTATAGCACTGGACCTTGAGTCCGAGTTAAAATCCTACTCGGACTAGGTTTCCCTCTCCGGATCAACATCACCTCGACCAGTCATATCTTTACTAGGACTACGAATCTAGTCTTTAACTGAGCCGGATTCGCTTTCTGGATTACTGATCCCGTCGAGACTCCCTGTTGTACTAGGACTCGACTTGTTTTTTGATTTAACCGACCTAGGCTTGGAAGCCCATGAGCTGAACGATCCATGGCCTTTTCGCCGCATGGCCTCCCGGGCCGAGAATGATCCTACCCTCGGCCCAAACTATTATTTTGGGCCCAAACACAAGCACAACAATTCCGAAATCTATCGTAATTTTAGATTATTTCGAAGAATTTAAACTACCAAAGAACCAGATTATTTCGACTAATTTAAATTGAAAGACCAAAAATACCAGAAAAAGAAAATACAGAGATATAAAGTGAATCGGAAAAAAAATGAAATCAATTGAAGATGCTAAACTATGAACAAGAAAACGAGAGATAATTGATTTATTAAGGAAGTTGAGATCGACGAATAGGATCCAATCTTACCGAGATGAACAGCTCCAAGAATTTAGAAGCGTCGAGTGAACTCAAAACCTGTCTAGGGTTTGGGAGAGAGTAGGCCTAACCTGACATGATCCGATAATCCGACACAACACGACACGATATGAAATTAACATGTATTCGAGTCGATACGATAACGAATTAAGTCGTTATCGGGTAACCCGATAAGCACTTGTTAAGATAACGGGTTGGTTCTGGCATACACGTAGATAACACGATACACGATAAGCAAAATATTAATTTTATAACCCTAAAAAAATACTATAATAATTATCTCTACTAATTAATAAAACTAAAACTTTCTTTGTCAACCAAAAGAGGATAAAAAGACAAATTAGTCTTCTATCACACAAAAAAAAATGATGGGCAATAATGTAATTTCAAAAGTCCAAATTTTACTGTTTTTTTATTAAAGCATCACCTATAAGTGATGTTAAAATACCTCCAATATTAAAAATAAAAAAAAACCGAAAACAAAAACCTTTCACTCCTCCCACATTTTCTCTCTCTCTCCCTCTCTCCCTCTCTCCTTCTCATTTTCTAAAAGAATGTGTTCATACACACAAAGTGTGTAGGCAAATGTTAGTATATATTAATTAACAATTTTATACCCCTAAAAACTATAATAATTATATATATATATATATAATTAAATTTAAAAAATTGGTGACCATTGGATCGGCTGAGATTTAATCTCAGCCGTCCATTGTGCATTAGGTTGGAGGCTAATATATTTTTATATGGTACAGTACTATTGTTTTATGGGGCATTTAGATGCAAGTTCAAAAAATTGAGCTACTTTCCAATTGAGTCTAGTTCCATGTACCTTCTCAGTTTAGGTTCAATTGATCTTTTTATGTCCATTTTGCCTTTTTATAATCTAAATGAAAATATATTTAAATTTCTTGATTTATCCAAATTTTGAATCTTTAAAGTCTTTAATCTATTCAATATCTAAGGAAAAAAAAATTAAAATTAAAATTCATGGCACGTTTATCAACAACAAAATCTACCGTGATATAAATTATTGATAAAAGTAGATTACAAAAAGAAAAAACCTATGATATATAAATACAAAATATGTGATGAAGATATATGTAAATTATATCTAATTAAACTATGGTGTAGGTAGATAATGCAACTAATCTGTGATGCAGGTAGGCAATGAAATCAATCTGTGATGTAGGTAGTTAATTTACAAACAAAAAAACATATGATACATATGCAATTAATCTCTGATATAGGTAGAGTATTATAAATAAAAAAAACCTATCGTACAGGTAGATTGACACATCCCGACCTGGAATGTCTACTAGAACTCCGAATCGAGCTGTATTGGCCGACACCTGGAAGGTGACGAAGCCATAAAGTGTGATGATGATGAAAAAATATGAATAAATTTGAACCTAAGAGTGCCTAAATAATAGGGTGCGCTGGTGAGCATGAATGATCACACTTCACATGTGATGTTAGAGCATAAGTAAGTACAGTGGAGTGGATAAGGATTATACCCTCATAAGTAACCACCTATCTTGAGATTTGCCAAGAATCCTCGTCGATATGAACTTTTAGCAAATTAAACCTGGAGGGGTGCAAAACAAAAAGTGTGACTGGGTAAAAATAAAGCTTTTCAAAAACCATTAACGTTTGGTGACGATCTAACGGTTGGATAGTTGATTCATATTTTTACCAAGTAATGTATCGAAATAAATTTAGGTTCAAACGATCAACCTATGTTATACAATTACCAAAATTGAACTCGCATCTAATCTAGCCTAAGAGCATCGACGGTCCCCTGGCCACACGTCGCCGCACACGCCCCGCTGGTGGCGGTCGGCGGCCCCGACTCGCCGTAAAATTCAACAATTTCTAAAAATTACCAAATTTTATAGAATCGTAGGTCTCAATGAGTAGAGTAAACTTTATATCTGTGG